ATGTCAGCAGTGATTTTTATAACAATATACTTTCTTTTAATAGTTTTTTTTGTAATAGAAAACAATAAAACATAATGAAGCGCTACTAAAAATTCTTTAGCGCATTGTTAATGCAACCTTAAGTAGGACACTGTCGCCAAATGAAGAAAAAAATGTGTTAAATAAATTGTGTATAGGAAAAACAGTTATTTTGTATTTATAGCATATTTTGAATGATTTACTGTATCCACTTATAGATTCCTAATATACTAATTTTTATTCGTGATTTTTTATTTAAGTTCATTCTACTGTGAAAATTAGGAAATTAACATTAACTAAGTTTTTTATATGTAAATACATTATATAACAACGATTATTTGTTGAATCTGCCAAGCTGAAAATCTTTGTTAAAAAATTCAATTGTTTTACCATTAAATTAGGAAACAGCACATGATTTACAATTATTCGGTACGTGACTTAGTTTCGACACAAATTTTTGATTTAAAAAAAAACGTAATACTTAACATAACTACGTCATTTTAAAATTCAGGTTATTGTGTTATTTTTTTACCGATTATTTTTCAGACAAGAACCGACACTTGTTTATATTTTTGTTTTGTTTTTTAGTGCTTTTTAGTTCCGCCCTTACTTCCTAAGAAGTCGCAGAAGCCAACTGAATGGCTTGTGCGGGTTAGGGGTAGGAAAGGACCGCGGGTAAAAGTCCCCCAATTAATTATATTTTACAATGTTTTAAAAGTCTAAAACCTATCCTCCGTGACTGTTACTCTTTATAGGTTAACCTATATGTTTTCAAATATCTGAGGTAGTAAAAGCATACTAAAAATATCAGTTCACTAAGTAAATTAAACACATCCAAAGCAATCGAATCAAATATAAAATATTATTAAAAATTAAAAAAAATTATTTTTATAACCATTTATGTATGTAGGTGTTACAAAAATTGATTCTATTCTCCGCGAATCTGTTTTTGCTTTAAATTTTATGCAACAGATGGCGCTTTAATCATTTTAAATAAGCAAAAACCTCTGTTTACGATATTATAGATGCATGTGATTCCTGAAGGTCAGTTAGAATTTATATGCAGATAAGAGTTTCGCTGTTTTATAATTCAAAAGTTTAAGTTCATTAATTTGCTATTTAAAAACCTATCCACTGTGAAGTGTAATATCTCAGTAGGTAGATTTTTTTTATAAATATTTTATGTATGTACAATTGTATTTTTAAAAAAATTAATATTAAAAAAACATACGAAATCCTAACCTCCGTGAAGCTCTAATATTCAAACTTACTGACCTGGTGGCCAAAAACCCCATTCTAGAATAACAGTGAAATATACAAAAATAAAAAATAATCATTTTCACTTGGGGGACATCTCAATATATTCACCCATATATAGGGTGATACGAGAAAAACTGTTTATGCTGTTATTAAACTTAAAAAGTTAAAAAAATTTCTCCTCTATAATTAAATCCGAATCCCAATTAATAACCCCAAACATAAAAAAGGACGCGTTTTTAGGAATTAACATTCCGGTGAGATTATAGCGAGAATATTTAAATAACTCGGCGTGCCGTGGACTTTAATGTTCACAAAGTGACCTGGAATTTTAATAATAGACAACGAAGAAGCTTTTAATACATATTTAATTACCATGGAACAAATTTTGAATGATTTATCGATGAGGAAAGTATGATTGTTATTTTAAATTTTAGAATTTAAAATTCTTTGTGTTTTACCTATAGGTATACCTATAGTTTTACCTAATTTAAAATCTAAAAAATCCAAGAATGTATACCTAGGTAATTTTATTACAATATTATGCTGTATTTACGATATTTTATGCTTTTGCATTAACCTGTTGCTATTTGGGTGTGCTATTGAATCACATGTGCATTCTTCGTAAAACCATGTTAATCGTAGTAGCCTTGGCCTTACTTTTTTGGTTGGCACGTAGATATGCACGGAAATTGGAGCAAATTGGTCACGATATTTTGTAGTTAAATTTTTTTAATTTATAAAGTTACACTTACACTTTTTTGTACACAACAGTTTTAAAAGGCAGAAATACCTTATTAGAAAGTGCCTGCTCCACTGAGAATTTTTTTAATAGTGAGATGCCCCATTTGCGTACTACCTAAAAACTCCCCTTTTTCGTTTTTGTTGGTCTAAAATTTTAAATATTAGATATTATTTCAAATTATACTTAATATGTCATCTTAACATTGGGAGAACCCAACAGTAGATAAGGCACGAAAACTTGTTGCTACTATATATATATTATAATAGTATAATAATAATTATTATTATAATTATTAAATTATTTAAGGTTTCTGTTAACTTTTTATGCTATGCTAAAATAGGTATTTTTTATTTTAAAAAGTTCATAATTTTAAAAACTCTTTTTTATATCTTTTTGTGTATTAACCATACAATTTAGTGTAAAAATGTATCAAAAATGTATTTAAGGAATAGATATAAAAAAATAATTACAACAATACTATATTATGTATCAATTATGATAAATGCCATTTTATCTTGCGAGCGAGTGCTTAATTAAATGAGTGTCTAGAAAAGTTTATAAACGAGTTGCATACTATACTTTTTCCACGACAAATACTTATTATTATCTTAAAATGATTTAAATTAAATATTTGTATAGAGCGACATCTATAAAACAATAGAGTAAGCAACTTGGGAATCTGTATTATGTCAAATGTTTAAATCTAAATGTATCCCTTAAAAATTCAGTTTTCATGGTGAAAGTAAAGAAAATATTTAGGGAAACCCCAACAGTAGATCAAACAAGGAAACTTTTGTAAATTAAAAAAATGTGTTTTTAAGTTTAAAGTTATATTAAGTAAAAGAAACACATTTTTTGTAATAGTTTAACAATGATTAGCATAAAAACGTCCTTTACTTCATTCTGATAAAGTGCGTCTCGTATTGGCTACTTTATTTATTTAATAACTAATTAAGGAAGCGTCAGATCAAAAAGCCCTTATTCCTTTTATGCAGTCCATGACTTTTGGTACCACTATACAGGGGGTCTCAGATTTTAATCGGGAAAATTTAGTAGTCCATAGAAGTCGCAAAAATAAGAGGAAAAGTTTTATGAATTTTTAATCTATGGATTAAGTTACTGATCTAGATCTATAGATAGCCAATGACTATAGTATTATTATTATAATTTCACTTCCTAAATAAAAATAATGAATCATAAATTTGCTTGAAAAAAATTATTCAAATCACTCTGCGATAAAAATCGTCTGATTTAAATGTAGGTTACAAAACTAACTACAGTTAGAGTCAAAAGTAAAAAAAGTAAGGACCGGAACCGTCGAGGTATTTTGACCGGCTTCCTGTCTATGCAATAGGTGCTCTGCGTACGTACGAATACGCGAAATGAAAAAAAGAAATGGCCACCGTGCCTGCACCTGGCCTACTTTGTTTTGTTTACCGGCGAACAAGTGAAATTTAAAACGATTTCGTGAGAAACTGCCTCACTCGACGACCTGTACTTGTAGATACACCTATAATTTTAATCGCAACTAGACAACACAAGATAATGTTTGACTGGGGAACGACCAATCTAGATTATTATTAATAAAATAAATAAATAATAAAAAGGTTTTATTTCAATTTTACTTTACATTAAAAATAAAAAAAATATGATTTTTGATGAATTTTATAACATTATAAGACGAAATTGTAAAGGTTAGCTTTTGGGTAGAATTTTAATTGAATTCCTTTTGAAAGATTGTTTATTGTTAAGAGAAGGTTAGGGGTGGTAAATCCAGTGCCATGCTTAGATTTTGTTTAAAAAAATCTAAGCACGGCACTGGATTTACCACCCCTTAAAACGACCCTATACTAAATTTTATTGAAAAATTTAAGTAGAAAAATGCACAATAATAACTACAAAAATTTATTCTGTCAAGTTATCCATGGAAAAACATTAAAATAAGGGTCGTTTTGAGGGATGGTAAATCCAGTGCCGTGCTTACATTTTGTATAAAAAAAATCGCTAATATGAATTCTTAAAAATTTACTCTTAAAAACTGACATAGTAGGCCTTGTATTTTGTACAAATATGGCGTTTTTTGCTCCAAAAATACAGTTTATCAAGATCTACACTTTAAAACAAATTCGGTTAAAATCGCACAATAAAGATTTTACAGGGGTGAGTCGCAAACAAATGGGTCACAGTGTATATAAATATATGTTTAAGTTTCAGATGTATATTTCAAAATTTTAAAAATAGTATATTAAAGAACTAATGTCATAAGACTTCATTTTGTTGCACACCAGTGCACACCAGGTCTTATGACATGAGTTCTTTATGCTTTTTTATTTATTTTGCAAAAATTCTATAAAAAAAATTAATTTAATACCTTAAATTTAATTTGGTCGAATTTTACTTTAGATAGTAGGTATGTCAAAATCGATTCGCCATGCCGTCCTTAATTTACTTATTTACAATAAGCGGCTGTTAATGTTAAAGAAGGAAGAAAGGATTTTCTTCAAAATTTATTGCCAGAAAAGTCTCGTAAGTACTAGAAAAATCATAAAAATATTATGACCAATATGCAAAATATTATGCTGTTTAAAGTATAGCCAACCTAAAAAATCAAAATTTTGGGTGGAATAAAGTATCTTATTACAGCACCGAAAGAGGTGTTATAATGAAGTCATTATGAACGCAAAATAGATAAACGAATTTATGATTTTGCTTAAGATTGCTTTGATATTTTTTTATTTTGTTTTTTTTTATTTTAACAATACTTACCGTTATAAGAAAGAAGATGGTATACTTTTAATTAATGTATACAGTTTAACATATTTTTATGGTCGAACACCAAATTTGTTTCCAAATAAATAACAGCACCGTGTTTAATTGTTATAATTGCTAAATAAAACATGATAACTAGAGACCGGACTTTTATGCACTTAAAAATTGTAACAAATATAAATATTGGGTTTATCTTTAGAGTATAACTTACCACAAAATGGTATCCCCTCCGGAAGCCACTGTCCTCCGTCGCAAACTCTCCTCGAGGGCCCCAAAAGTTCCCACCCCCTTTCACAAGCGTACGTGGCCACTGAACCCGGACCGAGACTATCGTTTGAAAACACTACTTCGGAGTGCGCAGGCGCGCCCGGAAACTTACATTCCGGACTTTCTTCTTCAACAACTCCTGCAACAAAAAATACAATTATTAATAATTATAATTGTCTTAATTTAAAAAGTAACATTTGGAGGATTCAAATATAATTTTTATGCTTTTTAGTTTTAAAATTAAACATAATTATTTAAATTTGGTCTAAGAAAGTTTTAATTTTAAATGAAAGCACGTTCTTTTTTAAAAAAAACTCATTTGTTTAAATAATTAAATAGCCGTTACTAATATAGTAAGTAAAGCTTTGCATAAATAATTTCCATGTATCATTTAAAACCCGTAATACGGCGTAAACCTATTATTTATTAAATATTTTATTAAGATTTGCTCACGTTTTCAATTACATTACAAATTTACATGTTTGTCGTTTGGCATCTGTTTCGCAGTATGTCGGGACTCAGTTATTTTATACATTTTACACAGAAATAATCATTTGAACATATAGGAAAACTTGGTGTTATCTTGAAAAATTAATAGTTTGCATATGTTAGCTTTATAATTTAGTTATGGTGTTTATGTTTATTATATTTGTAAAGTAGACCACTTGTTTTAAGTACGGTTTACTGTTATCATTGATACCATCCGTAAATGATGTTTAAAAACTGTCGGGGTTATATTTGACGATTTTTATTATATCACTCTAATATACCCCTTAAAGAGCTTATTTGAGGAGTTTTAACGGTTATCTTTACCACTATAATATGAAACCCTAAGTTTTATAACTAAAGGTAATATTTTGGAAACCACTATATGGGCGAATTTTACATTTTGATGCTTTTTTAATATAAATTAAATATTTAATAATAATTTACAATATAGGCGGCGTATCCTAATTTTTGATTGGTCGAGAAATGTTGACAGTTGTTTCATTGTAATGTGATGTGTTCGGGCTTAATAAAAATTGTTTTTAGTTTGTAGTACTATCTTTTGAAAAAAAAACATTGTCATATGTCATTTCCATGGCCCTCTATGATTAATAGAAAAATATATTTCTTTAGAAACTTTTATACATTTTATTGAATGATATTTAAAGATTTATAATTAGAAAGTGATTATGTATAACAGGCATAAATATAATAAATAAACATTAAAAAAAAATAAAATATGTTAAATCTAGCCATCTGTGATATTACATAAAATAATAAACCTAATAACCTATCCTCACTGAATTTAATTAATTGGTTAATTAATTTCTATTGTTGCAATAAAATCGACAAATAATATTGCTTAAAATTTTAACGTTGCAAAACATTATTAATTTAACAATTTTGACCAGAAAAACATCTGCAATCTTACATAAACAAATAAAATAAATTTAAAATAATTAATTTAAATGTATTTCTTTTCCAAGAAAATAGCAGTATTCAAAGAAAGAAATACTAAACAATCAAGACAATATGAGCATTACTTTGGCAGCAGATTGCTACATAAAACCTGCTTTCATAGTCCTTTGTACACAATGCGTGGTATTTCACTGTTGTTGTTTTGTACGCAAAAAAAATCAGAAGTGGGATCATAAGGATGCATACCCATAGATGTTAAACTTAATTACTACCTTCCAGGAACTAAAATTATAATTGAATTTACGTAGCGAAAATTTATTCAATTTACAAGTAAAGTTACTGATCGATGGTTAATAACAATATTAAAAAACAATCCCGCGATAAAATCTTTCATTTGATTTACAGTAATCGTGTTAAGATGACTGACATATGTTCGCGTTCTTTAATTTAATTTTCAAATAGTAATCTTTGATGTACAGCTATTATTGGGAATTAACCATTGCGTACTGTTATTTGGCAAATAGAAGCATCTGCGACCCATGGGTTAATGCATTAAAAATTAATAAAGCCGCAGCCAGAGAAATTCAGTAAATATTTTAAATGCTTATATTATTTTTTATTAGAAAATTGTAATTAAAATTTGACTTCTAAGAACATTTTTTAACTAGAATATGCACTGTTCTTATTTCAAGATGCTTGTGGCGAGAGAATTGGAGCTTGGGCTTGCTCTAATTGGTAGTTTTATATCACATGACAGAAGATGTGGTGGGTGGCAGTTTGTAATGCATTGTGTGTAGAGCGGGTGTTTTTGTTTTGATTCAGATTTTTTTTTGTTTTTGCACCCTGATTTTAATATAGTAATATATAATATATAATAACATTCTGTCAAATTAAAAATTCTAAAATGCGGAAACATCATCCACATCTTGGATAATATTTTTTCGAGCTGAGCCGCAACGCTCCAATTCACCATTGCACTTGTATTGGTTGTTCGTTTGCTTCCTCAAGATCACGCTTCTTCACCTTCTTCAAAGGCGCGCGCTTATCTTCCGGCTTGATCGCCATTGGTCAGGGTCGTAGCCAAGTAGAAATCTCAACTCTCGATATTTGTAATAATACATCCAATTGGTAAAATGGTTAAACTAAGTATATTTGGACAACTGTATTTACTTCAATACAACACAAAAATTACTTTCATAGTTAAAAACATTTATAATTTTGATTTTTTAAAATTAATAAATATCGCAAAAAATACAATTATTTTGTTCACAAAAAAAAAATAAAAACAACATAAATAAAAAACTTGTGTTTCAAACTTCACTCTGCTAACTAAGCCGATTTTTGTAGAAACATCCATATTGAAATTATCCTTATTTCGGTCCTGTTCAGGTAATCTTGTTATCCACTAATCAGGTTTAAACATATTAATCTCAAATGATAAATGTGATTCCTTTATACAGTTGGACAACTTGATGTCATCAGTCAATAGAGTAGGCATTTTAATATTTTTTGTAAGTATTTTAGTATATTACAAAAGATCCAGTTTTTTTAACTTGTCCACCCAATTTTAATATATTTTTTCAAAAGCACGTTTGAGTAAAAACATAATAAATATTCAAAACATCAGTACCTTGGCGTCTCACAACTCCTGAATCAAATATTTGAATGATTTTATTTTTCACTACAAACTATAAAACATTAAATAATATATTTTTCATATTTTATCATAGATTCAAATAATAGCAATTTTTAAATAAATGATAATCTTTGTTCTCACTTTTACCCGTCAGTTCTATGTCCAATGTTAAAATTCAAAATTCCTGCGAAATATTAAAGTTTAAACGTCAAGTCCTCGTTTAAACTCAAGTGTTGGTAAAAAATTACCTACAGAGCCCGCCCTTTGTGAATGCACGTATAGTTCCAGTCAAAATTTCAGTACTGTGGTGAGTAGTTATTTTCTTTCGTATATATATTTCATTGTAATATTGTGATTGTGATTTGTTGATAAGTAGCATCCACTTATAAAAAATATCAGTAAAATACTTAATTCTGAATTATAATCTCAAATTTGTATCCCATTCATCAGTACCGTGTCGTCAGTTTCATGTTCGATGTTTCCGTTATCTTTTTTTCGCAAACCTTAATTTAAATTCTGCTTACGCAGAACTTGTTTATTTAATGTTATTATAAACTCATATAAATTTGGTGTGGGTCCCATATCTAATAAATGAGATATCGGTATACCCAAAATCCACCAGCCGCCACTGATGTGTGGTATTATTTGATTTAAAGATATTTAATGTATAATATGCTCAAAGTTGCCACTGATGTGTGGTATTATTTGATTTAAAGATATTTAATGTATAATATGCTCAAAGTTGCAATAAATCTTATATTTTTCAATAAATTATGTATTTAATTAGTACCCTGGTATTCTCGTCACTTCCCTTGCATTCAAATTTAGAAAACACAGATATTTCAGAAACTGTTTCTGTTCTAATAACAAAATAATGTTTAATTTTCTTCGAAAACTACTTATATAAACAAAATGAGGTCAAAAGTTGCCCAACTTTTGTAGAATGACCCATCACAGTTTAGCAATAATAAACGATAACACCCCGTGTAGTCTTAGCAACTTTATTATTTTTTTTACTCGGAAACCAGGTGGTCAATCTTTCTAAAACTTTAGAATGTTTTTAGCATTTTCTCATACAAATTAATAGGACACCCAAAATTCCTTAAATTATTTTTTTAATGCAGTCAAAAATTCTTGTTAAAAACTTGTTTTAATTTTACACAAGAAACCGCAACGTAGGTATTACTCATTTTAATTTCTTACTTACACACGTGTTAAGCCTGATTTATAGATTGCCTTCCTTCCTTTCTCCCGTAAAAGATGAACAACAGTACAACGATTTTTGTATTGTTCATCTTCTACGGGAGGATGGAAGGCAATCTATAAATTAGGCTTTACGTGTAACCGTAAAAGATCCTAGCATTGGGAAACTTTCCTTTTAGTGTCAATGTCCACTGTCCACAATTACCTATGTTCTAAGAAGAATTTTCTCCATTATCCGATCACATCAGAACGTGTAATACGGTTGTTAATCGCTGGCGAGAGCCTTTTCCGCTATGACAGTAATATTTGATGGACTATCGTTTTCTACGTAAGTCTTTGTAAAATGACAATGCGTTTAATAGGGTATGCCATAAACACTGACTTACCGGAAGTTTCAAATACAATTTTATGGGGAAAATTACTTTGAGGAAGCATGACAAGTTTTTAAGAAAAAACATTTTATTACGTCCTTTTGTATATGTCCCAATTACACTGGTTTAATTGAAAATCACAATCTTTTTTATGACAAGGTTATCAACTTTTTTTTTAAATAGTTTTTTGAATGCAGCTTTACAATAAGGACAACATGCCAAAATACATTAGAAAACATAGAGGCAGGTCTAATCATTTAAAAGATATCCAAGATTAAATTTATAAAAAAAATTATTTTTTTTAATAATTTTGTAACTCATTGAAAAATAATTATTGTCAAATAAGTATGACATATTTTTGTTGTAAATTTAATGCTCTACAAAAAAGGTCCGATGTGTTTAATAGATTACTCTAACCGTTGAGAAGATATTCGTATCCGAATATCAATGCGTAGTGATACGAATATCTTCTCAAAGGTTAGAGTAATCAATTAAACACATCAGACCTTTTTTGTAGAGCGTTAA